CTGGCTGCGGGCAGGGCAGGGCAGGGGGTGCGGGGCTGGCTGGAGACGGGCTGGTGCGGGCAGGGCAGGGGGTGGAGCAGGGGCTGGCTGCGGGCAGGGCAGGGCAGGGGGTGCGGGGCTGGCTGGAGACGGGCTGGTGCGGGCAGGGCAGGGGGTGGAGCAGGGGCTGGCTGCGGGCAGGGCAGGGCAGGGGGTGTGGGGTGGTGTGGGCAGGGGGTGCAGTAGAGGCAGCTGGAGCCCCAGCCCTTTAAATAGCCCCTGAGCCCCCCGCTATCCCAGGGCTCTGGGGGCTATTTAAAGGGCCTGGGGCTCCAAAGCCCCAGGCACTTTAAATTGCCCCCTGGGGAAGCCGGGCCACCCCGGTATGCCGTACCGGGGCTTGGGCATGGGGCCCAATTCAGGGGACTCAGTTAAAGCCGACCCTGCACACACACACACACACACTCTCTGTCTCCCTCCTCCCCCCCGGCTTTTCCCGGCTGCCCCACAGACAGTTCAACCCCCCCCCCATCACTATGGAGGCCACCCTGGGAGCAATCAGCGCAGTAGCCACCCCATCCCCAACCGAAGAGGGGGTTTGGGGGGGTCTCGGCCCAGTCCTCCCCAGCTGCGGCTCGAGCCCAGGCCGGGCGCCCCTCCCCTCACTCGCACTTACCGGCTCTGCCTCGTGCCCAGCACTTCCCGCCTCAGCAGGCCCCAGAAGTGACGCACCCGCTGTACGCCAGGCGGGGGGAGCGGGAGATGGAGACACGTGCACGCGTGTGCGCGCTTCTGGCTGTTCGGGCGGTTGGAGCGCAGTGCACGCGGGCCCCCGGCAGCCGCGCTTCTGACCATCCGGGTGGTCGGAGTGCGGCATGCGCATGCGGGGCTGTGAGGTTGCCCCCCCTCAGGCAGGGGACGAAGCCGGCAGCCACGCTTCTCACCAGCTGGGGCTGTGAGGTTGCTGCTCCCTCCCCCCACCCCCGGCAGGGGGCGAACCTGGCAGCCGCGCTTCTGACCGGCCGGCCGGAGCGCTGCGCGCACGCGCGGGGCTGTGAGGTCAGCTTCCCTCTCCCCCTCCCCTTCTCCCAGCAGGGGGCAAACCCAGCAGCCACGCTTCTCGCCGGCCGGCCGGCCGGTCGGAACGCGGTGCGCATGCGCGGGGCTGTGAGGTTGGCCTGCTCCCCTCCCCCTGGCAGGGGGCAAACCTGGCAGCTGCGCTTCTCAGTGGCCGGAGCGCGGTACGCATGGGCGGGGCTGTGAGGTCGGCTCTGCCCCCGGGCAGGGGGTGAAGCCGGCAGCTCCCTCCGCCACTTGCCCGCGGGCTGCACAGTGAGCCCCTGCGGGCCGCATGTTGTGCAGGCCTGCTTTACATCTCCCCCTTTAAGTTTTACATTTCTACCATTTACAAAAGTTTTCAAAATGTACATTATCATCTTTAAAGTTCAGTACATATCACTCTGTTAAGTGTCTCTAAATCATACTGGTTTTCTAATTACACAACCCAGCGCATAAAAACTTGGTTGTCTCGACTGTCTCTGGTCATTTGGAATCCTTGTACCTGCTTCTTCTCATTTTGCTTCCACCATCTGTAGAGTGTGCTTCATTGCTTTTTCCTTCTGAGGAACAAACTGTAGATGTTGACAATTTCTGTTGAACTCTCCACTATCAGTCTCACTCACATATGATCCGGACAATGAATTATTTTTCTTTAGAACAGCTGGATCTATTCATTCTTTTTCTCTATCCAGTTTGACACAAAGATGGCCACCAGGTTCTGAATCGTCAATTCTTTAACTGAGTGACATTTGTTAAAAAAAATATCTGTAAGTTCTTTTTGCCTTTTTATCAGATTTGGCTACTCACTTCATGTCTGGCCACTTTGGAGATACCATATCTGGCAGTTTCCAAAGTCAGAACAGTAGTTCTGAGTTGTCTTCCCATCAGGAGTTGTGCTGGACTATATCCAATAGCTGCTATTGCTTTTGATCCATAGCTCCGAAAAGCAAGGAATGGATCTTCCTTCTGTAGGATTTTCTTGGCTGTTTATATAGCTCTCTCAACCTCTACGCTCATTTGTGGGTAATGTGGGCTGCTAGTAATATGATCAAAATCATATTTTGCTCAGAATGACAATTTCCACCGTTATTTGTCACTAGTTGTTCTGGAATACCGAAATTTTAAAAAGTGTACTTCAGTTTCTCAATAACACTGCAACATATTATGTCTTTCAAGTACATTATTTCTATATACCTGGAAAAATAGTTCACTACAACCAGATAGTGATGTCCTCTGAATTTGCATAAACCTGCAGCTAATCTCTTCCAAGGTCTGTCTGGCAGAGGGGTTGTTCTTACCGGTTCTTTGCATAGTGTTGGTCTGTTAGCTCTGCAATGTTCTGTGCAGATACTTTGTTCTTTATGTCCTTGCTGATACCTGGCCACTACCCTGACTGGGTGGCCTGTTCATGACATTATGGCTATGTCTATATTTACAAGCTTACAGTGGCACAGCTGTACCCACACAGCTGTGTCGCTGTAAGAGCACTCGTGTAGCTGCATTATGCTGACAGGAGAGAGCTCTCCCACTGACATAGTGCTGTGCACACGAGGGCTTATGCCTGCAAAACTTATGTTGCTTGGGGTATGTTTTTTTCACACCTCTGAGTGACAAAAGTATTGCCAACATAAGTGCTATTGTAGACATGGCCTTAGTTAATCCTTAATATCCTTCATGGATGAGGGTTAGGATTTCTCCTCTCGTTTCATTTGGAATTATGATGCAATCATCTTTAATCATGAGCCCATTTGACTCACTTAATTATCCACATATCGCAAAGTAATCTCTCTTCACTTCCTTTGAGTCCTTTAGATTCTTGGGCCAGCCAGCCCTAATGTAACTTAGAACTTCTTGAGGTTATGTGTCTTTCAAGGTTGCTTTTAGTAGTTGGAGTAGTCTCTTTTCTGACACTGGTCTCTATATGTCCACAGCATCCACGTATGCCTGTACGACAGCTTTGAGCTCATGGGAGTCAAATATGATGCTGGGATTCATGACAGAATATCTGCTACTACCAGATTTTTCCCAGGAACACATTTAACATTTGGGTTGAATTGCATTAACCTTATCAATAGACACTGGCATCTCAACGGTGCTTCATCCAGGTCTTTTCCACTGATGAGAGTCACAAGCAGTTTATGGTCTGTTATCAGTGTAAAAGAATCACAGATATCTGTAAAAGTTCTCACATGTCCATACGCTTGCCAGGCACTCCTTTTCAATCTATGCATATCATTTTTCTGCTTCTGTGAGTGTGTGAGAGCAAAATGCAACTGGGCTTCCACTCAGAGCTGTGTTGTTGTAACAATACACCACCTAGGCCAAGCTGCTTGCATCTACATTCACCATTGTGGTTTGTTCATCTCATAGTACTTGAGAACTGGAGCTGTTGAGATAATTTCATTTACCTTTCTGAAGGCAATTTCTTGATTTGGTCCCCATAGCCACAATCTGTTGGACTTTAATAGTTCATTCAGTGTTTTTTGTCACTGCAAAAATGTCTTGTAGGTATCAACCAAGGTAATTTACCATCGCCAATATATGTCTCAGTTTTGGTACATTAGTTGGTGCATTCAATTCTCGAATTGGTTTTACTTTCTCAGGGCTAGGACTGATTCCATCTTTGTTTATTCTCAGTCCCAAACACTCTATTTGGGGTAGGTGGAAAATGTTCTTTTTCCTGTTTAGCTTCAGTCTAGCCGGCGGGTGGGCAAAGATTTTGGCATGAGGCCCACCTCTGGGTATGGAAATTGTATGACAGGCCATGAATGTTCATGAAATTAACACTTCAGAGATATTCAAATAAGCTTTATTTAATAAAGCTACATTTTAGTGGAAATAAACATAAAACCATACTTACAATTAAAAATATACCATCATAACAACGTATTACAAGAACTTACCCCCTTTCCACTCCCTTTCTCTCTAGCCTGGATTTGTCAGGTGTCAGCTTCCAGTCATTGGAATTAGTTGAGATTCACCACCCCCCTGCTCTCAGAAATCTCCTCCCACATAGGTCCCGACAGCCCACAACTTTGAAAACTGCCATTGAGCATTCCCTGGCCAACTACTCTTTGTTTTATCCTCAACAATGGAAAATGAACACTACTAAAATGTCTGAGTCACCTAAGCCAACAAGTAGCAGGCATGTGGGGTTGCACGTTCCAGGCTCTGATGGCGCATGAGGTAAGTTCGGGTTGTGCAGCCGGAGTAACATGCGTGCCCTCACGCCCATCACGCAAGCCCCTGACCCCGCTCTCTGGCCGGAGCGGGGCAATGGAGTTCGAGGACCAGATTAAAAGGTCTGAAAGGCCAGGTGCGGCCCATGGGCCATAGTTTGCTCACCCCTGGTCTAGACTAACTGATACACTTAGAACTTGATTGGTTGGATATATCAAAATATCATCCATGAAGACGACAACTGCATTTATGTTCATTAACGGTTCTGCCATCTTTCTTTGGACAATATCCAGGTGCACTGGTAATCCTGAAAGGTAATCTTTAAAAGCAAAATCTCCCAAAGAAATGTAACCAGTTTAGCACTCTCTTTGGCTAAAGGAATTTGCCAGAATCTGCTTGAGGCATCCATCTTGGAAAACACTGTAGCTCCTTTTACTTTGCGGATGAAGTCATTCAGTATTGGGAGGATATATTTTTCTCTCATAACTGCTTCATTAAGTCTTTTAAGATCCACACAGATTCATATTTTTCCATTTTTCTGTATAACCAGTACTAATGGGGCACACCATGCTACTGGCTCAGAGATAATCTTGGTTATGCCAATCTGTTCCATTCTCTTTAACTCAGTTTCCACTTTACGAAGCAACAGGATCAGAATCCTGCCAGATATATGTACACTATATGGTTCAGCATTGTCTCTTAAGGTTATTTGTACTGGATCTCCTTTCAATAGTTCAATATCACCAACTGCTTCATTGAGTTCTTCCACCTTTCTCAGTAGGCCCATCATGGCTGTCAAGTTGCAGCTGTGAAGGTGTGGGTTTTTGATCCTTTGATCACATACACCCTGAGTGCAAAGATTTTGTCTGTGTAGGTTGTTTCTGTGGTGAACAGGCTCCTGCAGTTCAGAATACCTCCAGTGCTAGTCAGGGCTGTGTCTGGTGATTTCAGCTCTGAGAAGGGTTGAAGGTGATTGTAACTCCCTTCTGAGTCTGCTCCTGAGTCAATTTTAAAGTCAATAGTTTTTCCTTGAAAGACTCCAGGCAGGCTCTGTGTTATCATACATGACAGGTCCCAGAAACAATGGCTCCCTGGCTGCCTTAATGTGAGAAACAGCTGCAAAATGTCCATATTTTGTGAATTTATTACATCTTGCACCTTTGGCTGCACATACATCTCTTGGGCATTTAGTCTGAAAGGCTTTGCGGTTAGCCTGAGAGTTCTCTCTCCTTGCCTCAGGGGTTGTATAATAATAACAACTTTTAGAATTCATGCTGTGCCTGTTTACAGATGGTTTTTCAGGTTCGTTGAGTTTGTTTTGCTGCTTCATAAGTTCGCACTGCTTTGTTATTTGAATAGCTGTGTGTGGGTTAAGTCTGTTTTTAACTGGAGCTGCTGTAAGAGACTTGTCTATATGGCCAATAGTCAATCTATTTCTCATATTTTAATGTTTTACAGTTCCAAAATCAGTTTTCTGCCAATGCCTTCAAAGCCCCGACAAAAGATTCAAACAGGTTCCCCTGTTTCCTGAATTTTCTGGTGAAACTGCCTTTTCATAAACCATATTTCTCTGAGGTATAAAGTATGCATCAAACATAGCCAGAACTCTATCACAGTTATATTAGTGACTGTTGTCAGTAAAGGCAAAGGATTTAAAGATATGCTCTGCCTGCTTCCCCATAGCATAAATAAAAGATGATAGCTTTATATCTCCAGTTTCCTGGTGGAGTTTAATAGCAATGCAAAATCTTGCAAAATGCTGCTTCCAGTCTGTCCAAGCTGAAGTTCTCTGGGGCACTGAAGAGAGGCATGTTGATGTGATCCATTCTGCAGCCTTTCTTGCTTTTTTTTAACCCCCTTCTGTTTGCAATCTTTGTTGCTACCTTAC